TGCCCTCCCGCCTCTCCCTCCTTCCATCGGCAGTACAGAGCTGAAGCACCTTGTGACACCTTTTGGTGGAGGAGCAAAAAAGGTGCGACGACCGAAGCCTCACGTTTGTAGCTTGAAGCCTTGACTAAAGTTTCACAGCGTTGGGTTGACGGGAAGAGATCTGCTGATTTGGAGACGAGATGGACGATGGCGGGGTTCTCCGCAGGGAGCCGCAGCAAGCACGGGTGGCCCTCACTCATGTCCGGCGAAGCGAGCAGCACACGGACCCCTCCAACGCTGCAGGCTGGTCCTATGAGTCTAAGGAGGTGGAGGGCAACAACCCTGACTATGAGCTGACGGTGAAGGCAGCCTCCCCATCCATGACGATACTCGTTGCATATCATCATCCTACGCTGTCCTGACTGTCTCAACCTGGAGTTGGCGTTTCGAAGACGGGTCCAGTCGTTGAAGTTGAACCCGGAATTCCTCAGCCTAGAAGCCGCTACCTGACGACCTCCAGAAGCTCTGAACTCCAGACGCTGAACCCTACTACATTCCCACATTCCGCAGGGTGCCGTTCCGGTTTCTTCGGAGAAGTTCGTGTCCCTGGACGACAGCGAGGTGGGAGACCTTGAAGGGCTACAGTTGGAAGGCTAAATGCCAAGAAGGCGCAATGACAGCGATTAAACACAACCTTGTCGACAAACCCGAAACCGAATTCTGCGCCTGCAACAGGACCCGGCCTGTTTTACGCCTGACAAGAGCAGAAGCTAGCAGCCAGCAGCTTGCCATGAGGTGGGCGTAGAGATCTTCCAGGTCATTCCAGAAGAGGCGGGGCTCTAATCGGCTTTCAAAGCCATGGGATTAGATTCACCACTGTGCCTGCTCTGCACGGTTGGAATGCAAGCCTCGCAAGGCAGGCTGAGAGATACGCTTGATAAAAGGCACTTCGCGAGCATTGCCGTCGTTTTAACCTAGACTCAGGACCTGTAGAGCCTTAGCCGGTCGAGCGCCCCCTCCAAAGTGCCTCGACTGTCAGGTGCGGGAAGGAGTCCCCAAATCCCCCAGGGTCCTCAATCATCCGACCGAAGAGCCCCTCCGAGGAGGTTGAGGTCCCCGGCAACAAGAACCCTGGAGACACCTTCACCAAGGAGGCGCAGCTGTGAAATCTCTGGCTTTCGATGCCTGGACCACAAAAGCTCGCAGCTTTGACTTCAAGTCGACCAGCTCCGCAGGCTGCCGCAAAGTTTAAGGACTTGTTTTCTTATTGTTTGCAAGGCCGTCGGAAGCAGTCTAGCAAGTCTAGCATGCGAAACTTGCAATGCAGCGCAGGCTTCCAACTGTCTGGCCGATCTACTCTAAATGCATGTTGACCTGCCATGAGACAGCCGCCCAACTCCTGCCCCGCACTGATCGCGGCAAGAAGATTCCCCGAAAACCTGTATTGACTGCGCAGATCAGCGGAAAGATCTATCACATCCTCGTGCCTGAGGGCGCAAAGCCAGGCAGGGGATCATGGCCGCAGCATGCTGAAGTGCGCGTGCTTGTGTCTGTGTGTGTGTGTGTGTGCGTGTGCACGACGTGCGTACGTCTCTCTCTCTCTCTCTCTCTCTCTCTCTCTCGCTCTCTCTCGCTCTCTCTCTCTCGCTCTCTCTCTCTCTCTCTCTGTGCCTGCATCGGCTTGGTGCGCGCCAACTTGCCAAATATGCTGGATCAGCGTTGTACTGCTTTGTGCAAATACTCATGGAGATGAGATACAAAAGACACAAAGCTACAAGTTTACAAGATTTGCCGCAGATGAAGTTTGAATAGGAGTGCCTCGGCGATCCGAGCTTCTGAAGCGGCGCATACAAGGATTGTTCCAGTCATCCTGGATGATGCTCCCTGACACTGGTGTCTTCAACACGACAGATCAGGCAAAACAAAAGTCGTGACCAGACCATACCAGACTCAAGACTGAGGGACAGAGGATCTGTTCATTCGCTCTCTCTGCCTCGCCCTGTTTCCCTGCCTCCCTGTCCGTCCGTCCGTCCGTCCGTCAGCGATGCGATGCGACTCGGAGTTAAAGGGTGTCCCAAGCAAGATCCAGGAGTCAAGCGGTGCAAATGATCGGAAGATTTGGCACAGTTTGTGTGTCTTTGGACAGGCTCCTTCTTCAAGGTGGCACTGCCGTCGAGTGACAACTCCAAGGCAGTAGATGCACCTTGGCTTTGCTTCGAAGGATGCTCGCGTTCGTGGGCTGTAGGAGGCAAGACAGTCTTGGGGGTTACATGCATGCGTTGTTTTTGTCCCGCAGTGTTCGTCGCCATGTGTGCAGTGGGCCCAGCCTAAGCCGGGCGAAGGTCAGCCTGTTCTTGGGCTCCACAGCCCAAATAGCAAAAATATAAGAGTATGACTGTGTGACAAAATGTCATTATGTTCAGTGTCACCACCTTCAGCACCGTGGCCAACAAGAGGAGGAGGAGGAGGAGGTGGAGGTGGAGGTGGAGGTGGAGGTGGAGTTGGAGGAGGAGGACGAGGAGGAGAACGAGGACGAGGAGGACGAGTAGGAGGACCTGGACGCGGAAAAGGAGGAGGGAATGGCAACACAAGCAATAGCTGGGCTTCAATGGGCAACAGGCAGCAGTCAGGTTGCAACAGGGAACAACATCAGCAGAGGTCACGCCCATCACTGATACTAGCATCAGTTGCAAGGTTTAAGGTCCGAGGTATGCTCCGCGAATCGAAGTCGAGGTCCCCGTGAAGTACCCGGATGACAAGAAACAGACCACCTGGACTCAGAAGGCTGTTGAGTTCGACTTGAGCATCCCAGAGCTTCTAGCGTTCGTTGTTGGCAGGGGGTTTTGGCTTTGAAGATTCACTGGTTTTGTTGAATTCACAATTCCTGTACGCAGAATATTGAAGATTGTCTTAGAATAGAACAGGAATCATGGCTGACCCGAAGTCTTAGAACTGAGTTCACAGCCTTCAGTCCACGTTCAGGATTTTTCGTGGGAGTATTTCTGGACTTTCAGAGTTCAAGCAGCTTTCTTTACAGGGGAAGCTATGCCCCTTAGAAGCTCAAGCCTTGGAGCTGGATGGTTGGGTGAGCCCGAGCTTCATCGCCGAAGCTCTCTCCCCAACCTGAGCCTTCCAGGTGCTTGGGAGGGAATACCAGCTCAACGCTCCCGAAAGGAAGGACGGTGATCCAGGCGGCGGAGATGACTGTCTGTGGGGCTTGCAGGCATTAGGTTCAGGCGTCTTCGTACTTCGTTCGGTTTCGTGTTTCGTACACCACAAGACCCATACCAGACTAAACTCCAAGCTCTGAAGTTTGTCGGGCTTTGAACAGGGATTGGCAAACAAAGGTTTCAGGCACAGGGCTGCAGCAACTGAGCAGCATGGCCTCCATCAACGTTGAGACGCTTCTTTGTCGTTTTGTAGGCTGCTTTACAAAGGCATATGGCATCGTCTGACTCTGCGGGTTCGCCCTCTCCCTCTCCTTCTCTCCCTCTCCCTCTCTCTCCATCTCTCTCAATCTCTCTCAATCTCTCTCCATGTCTGTCCATCTCTTTCCATTTCTCTCCATGTCTCTCCATTTCTCTCCATCTCTCTCCATCTCTCTCCATCTCT